AACGATTACTTCAAGTTATTGTTGCTAAAGGCGGTAAAGTGTATTTAGTTTTTCACACTTGGCTTAATTTTTCTTAAATAGATCATGACACAGGGCAATATTTCATGTGTTGTTGTTCATCTAAGATTGCATTTACTTAATTTTCAAACAGTCCTAACAGTTCTCCACCTGCAACATAAAGTTTCCAATTGGACACAGAGCAAAGGGGTAGAAATAGTTTGCAGTTATAATTTAACTCATGAGTTTGATCCGGGTAGATGGGGCTCATCAGCCTTGGAAGGCAGCCCATCTAGGAGAAGGAACACTCCGATTTTAAACCTCCACTGCCTTGTGGCTACATCCATCAATGGAATAGGCTTCAGGAGTTAACCTCGAGGCAAAATCCAGACCCAGAGTCCCGGAGGCAGTTCGTGTCGTTCTGACAACTCCTGTGACATCACTGGAACCAGTTGTATTGGCTCTTGCCTTTCCATTGGACTATTTCAGTGACGTGGAGAGGGGGGATTTGCTGCTTGGGTAACAGCTTATCCTCTATATTATTTTACCCAGGCTTCATGCTCTGGAGAAGACACTTCAGATTCACATGCAGTGTCAAAATAACATGGAAAGTAGCGGTTACCGGGTATAAGCCTTTGCTTGATTAGTATAGAGTGTGACACCAGGGACTAATTTCAAAGGTGGGAGGGTTCATTGAATGAGACCAGGGAATATGGTGTTGGCTTTGCAGTTAGAAATATTAGGCTGAGGTCCATTGTTCCACCTACTGCGGAGAATATTGTCTCTGCAGCTCCATTCATCAGCAGGACTGGTCACCCTTATTAGTGCATATGCACCAACACAGCAGAAGTCAAAGACAAATTATATGATGATCTGGCAGTTACTATCAAGAAAATCCATGAAAAAGAGCCACTGTTCGTTCTCAGATTTTAACGCTAGAGTTGGTCCTGACAATTCTTGGCCCACTTGTCTAGGCTGGTTTGACATTGGGAAGATGAACGAAAATGGCCAATGCTTGCTGGAGTTTTACTGTTATTATGGTCGTTGTGTCAGCAACATGTTCTTTGATATGAAGTTTTGATACAGAGTTTCCTGGAGACATCCAAGATTGAAGCATTGCCATCAGCATCATCTGATCCTCACTAGATTCTCTAGCCTTCCTAGTATTACGATAACACACAGTTATCAGGGTGCTGATTGCGATACTGATCACTCCCTGATGTGTAGTAGAGTAAAACTGTGAACAAAGAGATTGTACCATACGAAAAAGGAAGGAAGACCATGTATTCACATCAGCAAAACTCGTGATTAGAGAAAAGTGGAGAAATTTGCTCAAGTGCTTGAGGAAATCCTTCCAGGACCGGCTGATGCAAATGCACCTGAACAATGGGAACATTTCAAGAATGCTGTTTATAACACCGCCTTGTCCACATTTGGCAAGGAGACTAGTTTGAAACCCATTCGGAGGAGTTGATGCCAGTCATCAAGGAAAAGAGGAGAGCTCTAGCAGCATACAAAGCCTGTCCTAATGAGTACAGCTTGCAGGTCCTTCGAGTTGCTCGTAGCAAGTCCAACAGACTGCTAGGAGATGTTCTAATGATTATTGGCTTCAGCTCTGCTCTCAGATACAGCAGCGGACACAGGTAACACCAAGGGAATGTATGATGGCGTCAAGCAGGTTTTAGGTCCAATACAGAAGAAATCTGCTCCTTTAAAGAATGCTACAGGCTTGATCATCCAGGACCGAGCGCAGCAGATGGAACGCTGGGTGCAACACTACTCTGATCTATATTCCAGAGAGAACGTAGTCTTTGAAGAGTTGGACAGTGAACCAACTCAGAAATGAAAGTGGCCTTGGATTTCCTTGCCGCCGGCAAGGCACCTAGGAAGGATAACCGCCCAAAGAAGACACGTTCTAGATGGGCGGTATATAAATAAATAAAAAATCAAATGAATAAATAGCATCTGGTTGAAGTGCTAAAGTGCTGTAAAGAGATCATCACCACTGAGCTGTATGAAATCTTTTGTCTTTGCTGGAGGTAAGGACATGAAGGATGCAAACATCATCACATTGTATAAGAACAAAGGCAACAGGGGCAACTGCAATAACTACTGTGGCATCTCTGTTCTCAGCGTTGTAGGGAAGCTGCTTGCCCGTGTCATGCTGAAGAGGCTCCAGTGCTTGCAGACAGAGTCTATCCAGAATCACAGTTTGGATTTTGAGCTAATACCATTGACATGATATTTTCCCTCAGACAGTTGCAGGAGAAATGTAGGAAATGACAGCCACTCTTTGTGGCCTTCATAGATCCTACAAAGGCAGTTGATTTGGTTAGCAGGGACAGCCTTTTTCAACTACTTTCCAAGAGTGTGTGTCCACCTCAACTCCTTAACATCATCAAGTCCTTTCATGAGGAAATGACAGGCACTGTAGTTTTTGATGGCTCAACATCAGATCCCTTTGATATTCGGAGTGAAACAGGGCTGTGTCCTCGCACCAACTCGGACACTCTCTCCCTAGATGTCGAGCTGGATAAACACATTGGCAAAGCAGCTACCATGTTATCTAGACTCACAAAGAGAGTATGGCTTAACAAGAAGATGATGGCATATACCAAGATCAGTGTCTATAGACCTTGTGTCCTGAGTACACTCCTATACTGCAGTGAGTCCTGAACCCTTTGTGCATGGCAGGAGAGGAAGTTGAACATGTTCTATATGCATTGTCTCCGACACATTTTTGGCATCATCTGGCAGGACAAAGTTCCAAATAGAGGAGTCCTGGAATGAGCTGGAATTTTTAGCATGTATACATTACTGAAACAGCAACGTCTATGTTGGCTCGGGCATGTTGTTGAGAATGGCTGATGGTCGGATTCCAAAAGATCTCCTGTATGGAGAATTAGTGCAGGGAAATCACCCCAGAGGGAGACCACAACTGTGATACAAGGATATCTGCAAATGGGATCTGAAGGCCTTAGGAATGGACCTCAACAGCATGGCCTCTCCCAATTTGAAGAGATTCTTGTTCAGCAGGCTGAGGCAAAGAGGCAGTCCCAAATCCAGCAAAATCAGGGAGCTGGACGGGGGACAGATTGTATTTGTCTTCCATGTGGAAGGGATTGTCACTCTTGAATTGGCCTTCTCAGCCACACTAGACACTGTTCCAATACCTCTGTTCAGAGCACATTACCATAGTCTCTTGAGACTGAAGGATGCCTACTTAATTTTCAAATTTCCAAGGACCAGATGATTTTTATTATGTCCTGATATGTAAAACCATAGAATTCAAAGAGAGTGGTCTTCCTTTTTCATATAACTGTACAGTATATGGAGGATGTTAGATTACAAATAAAATTCCAACAATATCTAGATATTCTATGCCATTATTCTAAAACTCCATGAAATGTTACAGTGTTCCTACATGCCCTAAAGCTTCTAACAGTCCACAGTCAACCATAATGGTCTTTTATAGTTTTGGTTGATTGCTGATCTTTACTACAGCACTTCTAATAGGCATGCCATTATTAATCTTGATATTGAGCCTTTTCCATAGGTCAAATGGATTCCTTGTGACACTGTACATTACGTGCACGTTTGCACAGGAAAATATCTGTATAATTTCATGAGAAAACTTGTAGGTCATATCTGTGCTGGTGAGAAACATTAATAAATAATGCCTGGAATATTTAGCTTTAGAACTGTTTTTGTTCTGTTTTGTTTAGTTTTTGGCAGCTTTGTTTCCTGATACGATTCTGCAGGAGCTGACAAGGAGAGAAAAATTGGACAGAGACCAGATAAAATTTATTTTTAATAAAAGTCAGCAATTACTGATAAAGGCACAAGGCACAGAGAAAGCAAAGCGTAATGAATAAAATTATCTGCCTAATGGCTGCTATTCCAACTTGTTCAAAGGTCCAACAAAGACAATGGTGGAAATAACCCTTCCCACAAGAAAAAGAGGCCAGCTAGCACTGAATGTATTTGTCATCACTGGCGAAGGCCTAGCTTGCCATGTTGCTTAGCACTTAAGGGCTTAGCCATGAACCCATTTATCAGTATTTGCACATAGATTGTCTTTGGCTGACAGAAGATTTAACAGCACTTATTGTCAAGTCCTTGCTGACAAACGTCTGCATAGTCAAAGCTATGGTTTTTCCAGTACAGTAGTGATGTATGGAAGTGAGAGCTGGACGATAAAGAAAGGTGAGAGCCGAAGAATTGATGCTTTTGAATTATGGTGCTGGAGGAGACTCTTGAGAGTCCCCTGGACTGCAAGGAGAACAAACCTATCCATTTTGAAAGAAATCAACCCTGAGTGCTCACTGGAAGGACAGATCCTGAAACTGAGGCTCCAATACTTTGGCCATCTCATTATAAGAGATGACTCCCTGGAAAAGACCTTGATGTTAGGAAAGTGTGAAGGCAAGAGGAGAAGGGGACGACAGAGGATGGGATGGTTGGACAGTGTCATCAAAGCTACCAACATGAATTTGACCAAACTCTGGGAGGCAGTGGAAGACAAGAGGGCCTGGCGTGCTCTGGTCCAAGGGGTCATGAAGAGTCAGATACAACTTAACAGCTAAACAACAACATTGTCAAGTTACCTCCAACCCATGGTGATGGCTATGAATAAGTGATCTTCAGAATTTCTTATGCCCAACAGCCATGCTCAGCTCTTGTAAACTCAAGCCTGAGCTCCTGATTGCTGTGTCAAAGATGATGATGCTGACTCTACTTGTATCTTCAAATGTGTAGCACTTGCTAGATGCCCTATTTGTCCTTCATTCTTCCACCAAAATCAAAATGTCCTCCAAATAAGTACATGTCTGGAGTTCCAGCTTTTGTTAAAAGAAAGCTGTTAAACAAAGTATGATAGCGTGAGCAAGGAAAATAAGCTTCATTATTAGTATATGGTGTGAATTGTTGCATTGTTTGAGTGGATGAATGAATGAATGCATAACATCACAATCTTCTTAACAACTTGCATTTTGCATCCACAGGTACATTGTGAAAACACTTATCCTGGGTCAGACACTCTCCTTGTTCATATGTGGGACTGCAGTGACCAGCCAATTTCTAGCTGACAAGTGTGGTGTGAACACCCCAATGCTACAGAGTTTCATCAACTATTGCTTGCTTTTTCTCGTTTACACAACAATGCTGGCCTTTCGGAAAGGTACAAGTAAGATCTGTAGTATTAAAGTGCGGTGATTTCCTGTGTTGTGCTCATTGATCAGGATGTACAGGATGTGGAAATGTACACCATTCTATGTACAACAACTATGGGCAGAGGTTTGGAGGCATGGATTTCATGTATTGCCTGACGTTGTAGTATTATGTGCCATTAAGTCACTTCTGACTTCTGGCAATGATCCAACGTCCCTGCTCAGGCGTTCCAAACAAAAAGCTGTGGCTTCCTTTGTTGAGTCAGCCCATCTTGTGTTTGTTTGGTTTTCCTTTTTTCTTCTTCTTGCGTTCAATTTTTCCCAGAATTATGTATGTATTTTGCATTGTCTTATACAAAGTACAATAACCTCAGTTCAGTCAGGTTAGCGTCTAGTAAGAGGTCAGACTTGATTTGATCTACTAATTACTTATTTGTCCTTCTAGCTGTCCATGGTGTCATAAAACTCTCCAACAGCACATTTTGAAGTTTATTTCCCTTAAGTATACAGTTTGAAAACCATTCTAGGAACAGCTGGAATCAGATCTTATTTTTTGTGTCATTGTGAAAATATGACTAACATTGCTTTTCATGCAGTGCTTCTTTTAATATTTTTTTTGCTTTACACAAAAATATTTGTACCTTGTCTTTGCCTTAAAAAAACAGCAAACACTAAAGGCAGCTTGCAGTATTAAAAACATCTAAAATACAGTAACTGATTTGAAGGAAGAAATTATAGCTGATAGAAAAAATAAGCTAATGGGTCAGGTTTGATGCTTATGAAAGTCACTGGATTCTTGGCCCGTCTTCCTACAGCCTTCTCCAGCTGCATAAAACATGTTTCAAAGTGATTTCCATGCCTTTGAAACCCCCCCCCCCGGTTTACTTAGAAGCTGCAATGGAAAAGAGAGGTTGTTCTGCCTCCCCTTCATAAAAAAGTGGTTACTGTGGGGAAAGACTGTTAAAAAAAGAGAGAGAAACAAAGACAAGAAAAGGGCAAGGTAAATGTCCCTTTTCAGCTGTGGTAGCCCAAGACGTTCTGCTGCCCAAGGCAAACCAGCAGACTCACCTCCTGTAAGCCAGTGAAGGTACATAATGTCTGCCAGCAGTAAAATTAGTTTTACACCTGAGATAGAAAGTACTATAAGTGCTTCTTGCCAGTCCCTGGCAGTAAAAATACAAGATTAACATTTTATTGCTTTACCAGATGGCCATCATGCTCTGCCTAAGGATAGGGGTGGCCTTGTGTTCCCAACCTTAAGATTAATCTCCAGGAGTCATCCTCTCAAGTCCCAGTCAAAAGCAGCTCAGGTATTGATGATTTACACAAAAGAGAGCTTCCACAGAAGAGCTTGGAAAGAAAAGAGGCTCATTTGCAGACAATAAGAATATGTGTTTAATTTTTCTCCAGACGGTGACAGCCTCTTCCAGATCCTGAAAAGGAAGTGGTGGAAGTATATTTTTCTTGGACTGGCTGATGTCGAAGCCAACTACACTATAGTGAAAGCCTACCAGTACACAAGTATAACAAGTGTCCAGGTAAAAATGAGTCTTCTAGAAAATAAGTAACAAATTGATCATAGCATGAGCTTGTGTGGTCAAGGGCTGCTGAGAACAGAGTTTGGAAAAGTTACTTTTGTTTGGACTGCAGCTAGCAGAATCCCCCATGATGGCTCACACATCCATGATAGATGTAGAATCCTCAGAGTCCAAAAAGTAACTTTTCCAAGATTTGTCTGAGAGACGTTGTGACAGTGTGGCTGAAATGTTGGGCTAGGTCTTCCTTTCCACTCTTCCATGAAACTCACTAAGCCACCTTCAGATGATCTCTCCCAGAAATGCTTGGTCATTTTCCCGTTTTTGTACAGTTTCTTCCCATTACTAAAAAGTTGGAGTGCCCCTTGCTAAAGCTTAGTTACTGGCAGTTATTGCTGTAAGTTAAAATATTTTGATTTTTTCCTCTCTCTCTCTCTCTCTCTCTCTCTCTCTCTCTCACACACACACACACACACACACACACACACAGAACAAAGCAGTCTGTGCAGATTTACCTTTAAATGATTTATTTTGCCTTTATTTCATTTTTTTTAAAAAAAAGAAAAGCATGGATGAATCCATGGAGACGCAGGCAAGGCCAGTGATGTTCAAACGTCTCTCCCCTCCCCCCGCTTACTGGGTCCTCACTGCTAAATGAGAATGATACTGGTGTTTTGCTATTGGCCAGTCCTGAGGCCTCATCAGCTTGTGGAACTAGCCAGTTTACTAGTATGCAGCCAGAATGCATAGATGATCTTTACCTTCAATATGTAGTGAGAAGGTGTTGCGTCTCCGTGGCGGAATGTGCTCGAGGGCTCACATAGCTCCGAGGGTTATTTTCCTGGCACCAGGATCTTTTGGGGCTCTACGAAACCCTCCACCTGCTTCTGGAAATGGCTAGAAGGTTACTTCTGGCTTTAGGGGGCACCTTCTGCCAGATGTGGGCTTGGCACCAGTTGTTCTAGAGAAGAATGGTACTCCTGAAAACTTCCACCAGCAGCAACAACAGTTCTTATTTTTCTGTCCTCCCACAAAACAAGTTGAGGGCAGCATGGTTGGTGAGACTCTGACCCCTTGGCTATTGGAACCGTGCTTCCTGGTTTGCCATATTACACTCTGGCAATAAAGCAGCCGCAAAAGAGCAAAACAAAGAGTCGCAGGCTGGCTACCTTAGCCATCACCTTGAACTTTTATCGAGGGATGTTGGCAAGTTTCCCGGTCCACGTCTCAAGTCCAAGTCTTTGGAACTGAGTCCTGACTCTCAAGCCTTGAGTCTGAGGCTTGAATCATTTGCCCTGCTCCCCCCCTGGACAAACGACTCGAGGCTCAGACTTGAGACTTGGAATCAAAGACTCGGATTGTGCATGAACCACCCAGCTGATAGCCTGGCGAATGTACAGAGACAGTGGGACTGAAAGGGAAGCCGGGTGGGCACATGTGCAGGCACAGAGACAATGGGTCAACTTCCCTTTCTGGTGCCAGTGCCTGCCTCTGCACATGTACCGATCTATCAGCTGGGCAGCGAGTGTATGAGCAGGGGCAGTGAATGTGTGGGCAGGGGCAGTGAGTGCATGGGCAGCGGCAGCAGCCGGTTCCTGGAAGGGAAGCTGGGGCTGCTGCCTATGAGGATGGCAAAGGCAGCAGAAGCAGGTAGAGAGGCCCATCTCTAATAGAGACCCAACTGCGGGACTGAGAAAAATGGGTGTGAGTTGTGAGTTTAGTCTGAGTCTTTACACCCCCTCCCCCGAGTTGAATCTGAGTCAAACTGCGGGTGCAACTTAAGTTAGACTTAATGATGAGTTTCAGTTTGCAAGTGTCCATTCCATTATTTTCCCTCTGTGCGGTCTGAGGGAGTGCAGTGCACTCAGTGGCATCACAATATAGCCAGATTTCATTAGCCCTAGTATTTTGTTGCTGCAGTTCTAGACTCCCTTGAGCCCCACCCTTTCTGTCATTGCTTTAATCATGGAAACAAAGCAGACTGAAGTTGGAGTGCCAGCTATAATGGAACCCCAACTTGGGCTTCTCCATGTGAACCCCAACTTGGAAGTTTTTTGTTCACAGTGGAAGGCCACTCAGATAGAGCATTCCCCTCCCATCTTCAGACTGTTTTGTTTCCACAATTAAAAAAATGACAGAGGGGTCAAGCCTAGTGACCTCCCATCGTTCTATATGGGTGCCGCATGTAAACAGAACAACTATTCAAATATTCAGCAACCTCCCCCTACCTAAAATTAAAACTAACAATTTGTCAATTCATCTTTTAGCTTAGTTGCCTAAAAACCTTTTGAGAGAGAGAAAAGTTGTCCCCCAGCTAATGGACATCACATATTTCAAAAAGCTGATTATTTTTCAAACAAAAATTCACAAACATTCTCCACAGCTGGAAACTTCCACACCATGGGAAACTTCCAGCTTCTGTCTTTGAATAAGAAAGAGCTATTTTCCCCCTTTGTCACTGAGTTCTATATGAGGAAGTCTTCTGTATGATAACTGATAACAATGAGATGATCATTGCTATTCCTCACAAGTTAAGGCTACACCAATCTTAAGCCCACTCTCTTGGCACGAGCCCCACAGAACTCAGTGGCTGGAATTTCTGAGTAAACAAAGTTGCCGTACTGATCTGTTGTGGGTCAGACTGTGCCATATTGCAGCCGTTCTCAACCTATTTTTGGCCACGGCCACAAAAGCAATATGAAAGAAATATAGACTGAAGCAGGATTCCACACGTTGCATAACAAATGTTAGATGGTGTTGTGTGTTGCCCCTCAAATGTTCTAGCCCCCAGGGAGGCCATATGACCCCCTACTGAGAATGGTTGCTATGCTGCCAGAAAGTAAAGTTTGGTTCTCTACGCTACTACCCTGGCTACTCCTAGTGGTAAAAATTGTTTGAAGTGCGGAGTTGGTGAGGGGAATTGAGTGTGGCTTCAATAACTTCCTCTAATTACTGCCGCCAGTAATTACAGTGGCCTTCCACTGTAGCAAATAAAAATAGGTCTGGCAGGAACCCACATAGCAGTTTGAGCTACAATTTCCCCTCAGTAGACCATCTCTTATTTGTTAGTTTACCTCAGCTGGCACTTACTGTTTCGATACATTCATTCAGAGAGGATAATGAAAAAAAGAATAAAATGTTTCAGTTTACTCACAGTCCTTATATAAAAACTAACATATTGTGGAAAAATATTAACTTGTTACATAACTTGCCTTAACTGGTTAACTGGCCTCATGTTGACTAACTGATTTGGTCACAGAACATTTCACTCTAATTGTCTTCAGACCCATAAGTCACACTCTAACTGACAGAACACAAACTGAATTCTGACTGAAAAAAAAGCGGGAAAAAGAATCCGAGGTAGATAGAGACTGAGGTTGTTGACATCCATTGCAGTTCTCTCCCAGCCAAAACCTCTCAGAAGACATCATATGAGGGTGCAATATATTAACACCTCAAAATAAGCATTTTTTAAAAGCAGAAATGAACTTCTGGACATGTCTGGTTTTGTTATTTTCACTTTATCACATTCTTGGCTTTCCTTGTGGTTCCCATATGACCTTGGCGGCAGAAAACAGGTCCTCAGACTTGGCAACAGGGCCCTTGCTAGATGAATTGGAACAAGAGAGAAATGTAGAGGAGACCTGATTACAGTACTGGTGATATTGGATCAGTAAACCCCCAAAGTTAATGTTATCGTAGGTAAAAATGTATACAGTACTATGCTTCCAATATACTGTATACATAAAAGAGAAAGTTTTGGTATAATACTCTTTCTTAAAAACGCCCTAAGCTATAAAACTATTGGTCAAACAGATAGGTAAAATAGTATCATTCAAAAGCCTGTGGTGTCCAAACAGAAATAACCCTGTGCCCAATGGGCTCATTGATAATAGCAATTCCAAAGCTAAGTTTCGCTCTAGTTCTGATTTATAACTCTGCAGTTTGAGTGGAGACTTTACATGACTTCACTGTGACGCCATCAGAGCAGGTACAGGAAGCAAGTAGCCAGGAGAGGACTTATGAAATCTTGCAGTGAGCCCTCATTGGAAGGAAGTGAATCGGTGTGAGTCATTCAGCTGTTAAAAAACAAGGAGCAGACTAGAAATCCTCATGCTCCCATTGGCAGTTGCCCAGGGTAAGAAAAATAAACAGTGTTGTATGTCTTCTTAATGTACAGACAAATGAAAAGTGTAAAGTGGGACCATAATAAAACGTTGCAATGTGTAATGTTCTTGTTCAGGGTTCCTGCTGGCAATCTTGGCCTTTTTCAGGTTACTACTCCATTCCAAGGAGACAAGAACACAGACAACAAGTTGCAAGAAGGAAGAAATGAGAGGCTGAGGATGTTTTTAGTCTTTTCATAGATCAGGGGTCTCAAACTCAATTTACCTGGGGGCCGCTGGAGGCAGAGTCTGGGTTAGGCTGGGCCACATCATATTTTCTGCCCAGAGGAAGCTGCCCAGGAGTTTCCTTAGCCCGGCTGGGGCTCCGAGGAGGAGGAGGAGGAGGAGGAAGCACTGCTGGGTGCTGAGGCGGCCGTTGGCCGAGCTGCTGCTGGGGGGGCAGAGAGAGAGAAAGAGAGGCACAGAGCTGCTTCACTGGAAGAGGTGGCGGCAGCAGCTGCTGTTGGAGGCACTCTTTGAGGATAGGCTGGGAGCGAGCTCCGCTCTCAGGCATCGCTCGGTGGCAGCTCAGGTCTCGGGAAAAAGGGCTGGCAGCGTGCCTCGCTCGCCGGTTCTCCCCCAAGACAGTGCCTCTTGCACCCTCCATCTGGAACTGCAGCCTGCCAGCCAGCAGACAGGCGGACCGGCTGGCAGGGTGCAATTCTGGATGGAGAGTGCAAGAGGCGCTATCTTGGGAGAGAGCCGGCGAGCAAGGCAAGGCTTTTTTTGACTCTTGACAGCAGAGGACACGTGGACGCTTCGGGGGGGAGGCAAGGCGGGGGCCGCAAACTATCATCCGGTGGCCCGCAAATGGCCCCTGGGCCGCATATTTGAGATCCCTGTCATAGATTATTAATTTTTCATGATACATGTTTCTGCATTTGATTAGTTTCTTCCTGTACAGAATTATCTGTGGAAAGAATCTTTGTGTATGTGGGAGCTCTCAACCGCAGAGCTGCAGGCAGAAATACAACTATTGTCTGAATAGAAAAAGGATTATAAACAATGATTAATTGTAGCAACTGTAATTATTTTCAGATTTGCTCATTTGTCACCCATGGCTCATTTTAAGCAGCTCAAACAAGGAGGTCATAGCAACTGAATTTTTGTATAGCCAGCTTGTGAGCTGGGGGAACATCTCACCCAATTTTTGGAATGAATCGTCTCCATTCATGTGCTTTGTCTAATATTTTTATTAGTTAGGATGTACTTCGTTTATAAGAATAGGCTGCTTTTAAAAAATCACAAGCTTTGTTTTGCATGCGAAACATCCTAGTACAAATGGAGGATGCTTTATTATGGAATAGCATCTTCAGGATGCTATTCAACAAAAGTTACATCAAAGTCCTACTGAAAAATTTGGAGTCAGGTGGAATCTCATCATCCTCAGCTTGCTTTGATTTAAGTGAGTCCTTTAGCCACCAGGCTGAATTTACTCTCTTCAGATCGTGTATCTTGAACACTTGGTGATTGTGATAAAAAGAACTTGTGGGGCCTTTTTTTCCTTTGTATTATTATGATATTTTTCTTTTTGTGCTTGGCAGCTCCTAGACTGTTTTGGGATCCCTGTGCTGATGGCTTTATCATGGTTCATTCTTCATGCAAGATACAAACTGATCCATTTTATTGCTGTCGCTATCTGCCTGTTGGGTGTAGGGACGATGGTTGGTGCCGACATATTAGCTGGGAGACAAGATGACGAAGGTAAGGTCTGGACAAAACGTGTCAGTGAAATATGGAAAAATGGTAGAAGCAAGGAATTCTGTTCAGTGTGAGGCATCCTTGATGTGAGCCAGGTCTGTATGTAATAGTGCAGTGTGGCCACTTGAAAAAATCTATTTACAAGGATTCATAGCAGTGTTATCTCAGTAGAGAATCCCAAAACTTTGATGTTATGTCATTAGGAGTTTGGAAAATTGCTTAGAAAAGTCAAAGATACAGGGTACTGTATATAAACAGCTAAATCTATATGTCCAAGTGATGCCTTTAAAGTTTTACAAAAAAAATTTCCGGGGCTGGAGAGTACATCACAGGTCAGAAATGAGCAACTCCTGTCCCTAGGCCGCTTCTGGTTCCCCATCCAGTCCCGCAACCTTTTTCTCTGGTCCAGGGAGAGAATTTCTATGACATTTCATATTTTCTCTGCAACTTACATTTGAACCCATAAGCAAGTCCAAACATGTTTATGAGTAATCCGACCTTTCTCACCAGATTACTTATAAACATGTTCAAACCCCACCATAAGCTCAAACATAGGTTGCAGAAAAAAATATGTCATAGAAATCCTCCCTCTGTTACTAATAAAGGACTGTTTACAGCCTGGGAAGCTCTTGCCGAGAATTGAACTCTGGTTTTCATCCTGGAAACCCTCTGCCTTTGCATTTTATCCTGGGAAGTCTTACTCTCAACATACATAGACATGAGATGGGCTTGATAAGAAAATGGAAATTTTTTTCCAAATTAATAAAAATTGTATCTGACCTTTCCCACTTTGCTTTGGACCGTTGACCTTTTAGCCATCCCTACTGCTGCAATGTCCCCCCCTCCAGACCCACCCCACATTGGAATTCAGACAATTGGAGGCCATAAAGGGCTCCAAACCCATATCTAACGTGAACCAATCAGTAAAGGATGGAGTTACCAACTCTTGAATAGGCACTGATATAAAAATGCAACAAGTCCCTCTTCCCTTTGCAGTTCTTTTCCTGGCAATGTGATGGGAAATGCTTCAACAGCTGATTTTACACCTTGCCTGAGAAAAAGCTTGCAACCTTCCTAAGTTTAAGAACTGAATTGATGTAGGAAAAGGTTGATGGACTAGAATATGCTGCAACAAGTTGAAGCAAATCCCTTAGCCTCGAAATAAAATAACACAAAATGCTGACGCGCCCTTTGTATTAATTTATAGGAGCTTTCTGAGAAGCAAAACAGAGATCAATGTATTGACCATGATGGAGAGATACATTAGGGCACTAAAGTGTGTGTGTGAGAGGGAACAAGCCTCCAGTTTTAGAAAGGTAATGTGCCTCTTTAACTAGGCATGCAGTTTTGACAGAAATAACATGTATTAACACTGGCTTCCCACAGATCACTTACAAAATATCCATGCAGATTGCAACCCATATTTCCTTAACAATTATTAGCCGGCATCAGAATAATTCTGTCCCCCCCCCACCGCTCAGTATTAAACCTAGATAGCATGTTGCATCTGATTTTTCCTGCCTGAATGTGAAACTTTTAACTTTGTTCCCGATTAAAACTTCCTTGTTTGTTTTAGCCCAGTTCTCTCATCCGTTAAGGTCATCCTGAGGCTTGATTATGAAGTATTAGCTATCCTCCTGCTTTGACGTCAAACATAAATTTTAAGAGCATCCCTTCCACTTTTTCGTCCAAGTAATTTATAAAGATGCTGGGGGTGGTGGTGGTGGAACTGGGCCTAGATAGCATCCTATGGCACCCCACTTGTTAACGTCTTACTAGCATAACGAGGAACCATAACAATTTGCATTCTTTGCCTGTATTCTACCAGCTTGGCTACAAGAATATCAAGGGGAAACTTTCTCAAAGCCTTGCTGAAATCAAGATGCTCTATATTTGCAGCATTCATCTAATTTATCAATCTTGTAACCCTGTCAGAATAAAAGAGATAAGATTAGTGTGGCATGATTTATTCATGCCATTTCTTAGTAATCACTGCAATCTTTTCTAAGTATCCATAGACTGATTAACGCTCTATTCTGGTACCTTTCCTGGTATTGAAATCAGCTGACCAGCTGGTTATCTAGATCCTCTGCCCCCCCTCCCCCAAATCTGAAGACAGAGACAACATTTACCTGCCATTAGTCTTTAGGGACTTCAACTGTTTTCCAGGGCTCAAAGTTTTATACACAGATGCTCTGAGTTTACATCTGCAAGTTCCTTTAATACCCTTGGATTCAGCTAATCTAGCTGTGCAGATCTAAATTCAGTTAGGGAAGCTATGCGTTCCTGTACCAACTCTTTACATCTTAGGGTGCAGTTTTCTCATCATCTACTTTAATCTGTTTAAGCAGATTTTTTTCCCTTTAGAAGACAGAAGCAACGTAGGTGTTCAGCAGGTCTGCCTTCTCTCTGTCATCTGTTAGCATTTCTCCATCTGTCCCAAGCAGTGAACCTATTGCTTCCTTATTTTGCCCTAAGCATAATCGGGGGGGGGGGAACACACCTTTCTGTTGCTTTTATTCAACCTTTCTGAAAGTCTGAGCCCATCTTGAGATTTAGTCCTCTTGACCTTTTTTTGGAAGAAAGAAGAAAAAGAAAAAGTATTTCTCTTTATTTTTTTAAATAAATTATAACACAAAAAACAACCAAATATACAACAAACAAAATTGTATACAGACGTCATTAACTAACAACATAATAAACAATGTAACATGTATTTTCCCTCACCAGGATCATTTGGGTATATAATCAATTTTCTGCCCCATGCAGAGTCTCTTACACACTCCAGAACTGCTTTAATTCTTGTGCTAGTGCGCAACATTTCTCCTTTATTAATACACAATCTATAAATCCCTCACCCCAAATATCTATAAAAATATTCACCTTTTTTCTGACAAATGGTGGCTACTCATTTGGACTCCACCTTGGTGATTTGTCCTCCATCTATAAAGCTCTAGTGGCACAAAAAAGGAGAATTAGCAGGGCTGAGGCCAACAAACCGATTTTACACCACAGTATGATGGTTTGGATTAACCATGGTTTAGTTAAGATTAACCATGATTTGGCAGTTTTGGGTGACATAAATTAATTTATTTAACTGGTTTGTTCCCACAAACCATAGTTCAGTTGAACCGCACTTAAGAGTTCAGGCACAATATTAAACAGTAATTAATTTAAAATGGAAGCAAAAGCTTCCACACTCTTCCTTGTAGTTGCTCAGTAGAAGAGGGAGAAGCTCAGCTTGTTCCCATCAAAAGCAGCTGATATCTATTGAGCCAAAAGGAATTCACTGGTAAGTACCAAATTTTTCATATTCTGTCAAGAAAGAGGCCGAACGGCTTGAAATATTGTCTGATTAACTGTCTGTAAAACTACCTGCAGGTTTTATATTACATCAATTCCTTTTTTAAAAAAATTCATGTTTTTCTATACAGGAAGCAACGTAGTTATTGGAGATGTCTTAGTCCTCGTTGGCGCTTCGTTATATGCAATTTCGAATGTGAGTGAGGAATACATTGTGAAAAATCTGAGCAGAGTGGAATTTCTAGGAATGGTGGGCTTGTTTGGGACTATTATCAGCGGTGTCCAGCTGTAAGGATCTATTATATGTATTTTAACTGTATTTAAGAAAACATCTATACCATAGAATGATTTCTTCCTTTCCATGAATTGGTGGATCTGTTATTAATCCATCAATAGCATTGCAATTAATCTCTTTAGAAGAGTGGGTGTTGTAGGGTGATCAGTTTTGCAGCCCAGAAATGTCTTTTTTTATTTTCAAATTCACTATCAAATCAGGTGGGTAGGCAGCTGTGGTTTCTCTCTTTCATTCCCTCCCAGATATCCTTTCATATCATCCATCCACTGCATCACGCACAAATAGGACATAATTTTAAATCTCCAGGTTGCAAACTGGCAATCCTAGGTATTTAGGCTTGTGTTTGATTGCTTGATCCAGTTTGTTCTTCTAATACTCCATGCATATTTAGCTTGCCTCTCATCCTGGCTTTTTCTAGCTTATGTGTTGATCGTGCTATCTGTTGGCATTCCAAGTCCTGTAACTGGTTATTCATGCAGATAATCTCCTTGACCTTAATGGAACCAGCCACAGGGTTAAGGACTTGGGGAATTAAATCATTGACTGGTTTGGAATCTTGCTTTTCTGGAATGGCATTGTCATTGTGGGTTTGTTTTTGTTTTTCCAGAGAGAGAATTGGCTTCCTTTACAGTTGTTTAATAAGCGGAAACTCTTCCACACTTCTTATTGCTTCATCTCCATGTTGGAAAGAGTTTGTCATTCTGCTTACTATACAAGTGTGAAAGGCACTGAAGACTGTCTGTAGAAAAAATGGTAAAACAAATTTCCTAAGAACTTTGAAGATATGGAATTAATTATGGGCAAGGTTTCTTCAATGAAATAAAATAATTTTGTAGAAATTGTGTTGCTTGAAAGCTCCTGAGGCAGTTGTGGGCCTGAAGGCTGTTTGTAGCCCTCAAAAGTCCTTGGATCTGTTCTGGAACTCTCCAATCTTTAAAAGGCCCCCAAACAGAGAATTGTGTCTCTGGAAGCCACCAAGGGACATTATTCTGGCTGTAGACAAATAGTGAACTCATTCTCCAAGTGCAGATCCCCGTGTAAACAAAATGACACAAGGAAGAGGCATCAGCAAATGTAAAGAAAACTACAATCTTGGGGGAGTTACTTCCCCCTTCCAAAAGAAAAACCTTTAGGGGATAAGAACACCAAAGTAGGGGGAAATCCTGAGAAAGCTTGGAATGGTGATGTCTGTCTGGAGAGGACATGGAATGGAGTGTCCTGAAGAGGTATGGGTGGCTGGTGGCATACACTGGTTAGATCTGCTCCATGCTACAACATTTTGTTCTGTGTCCCACAAGACCAACTATTGATTAGACAAACCTTTTTAAAAGGCTGCATTTATTTGAATTGGCCAAAATGCCATTCTAACTGCTGGCATAATGCAACTGGCATGAACTTTGCTGGTGAAATGCCACAAGTTAAGACATTAGTGTAGGTATTTACTATTGTGCACCAAGTCACACAACTGTGCACAACAAGAAATGCCTACACTAACTTCCTAACTTGGCAGCAATTCACCAGTGAAAACTATGGTAGTTGCACTATGGCATAAAAACTCAGTAGGAGTTCTGCACCAACTTTTGGATCAATTACAGCTAAAATGAATGCTAGGTAAACTTGTAAACAAGTGAGGTAGTGGGGATTTATCCTGGGAAGGGCCTGGCATGTCCCAATAATCCTTATTGATTGAACAGGTTTTCTGATAGTCAATTCTTATTTCAATAAAATTATGACAGGATACTTATTTCTTGATTAACTAATCTGTGTGCTGCTTGAAACAAGCCAAAGGTAGCCCTGTGGGCTGCATAAAGTCCTTAAGGCTGTTCTGTGCACTAATATTAGAAGTTGCAAAGCTTGGAAGTAACATGTTACAAATTACGCTATACATTCCTGCTTTGATTGGATTTTTAGTACCACTTATATTTTCTATTTTTGTGTTTTCAATTTTTTAGAGTGGCATTTAAAAACATATTTGTATACTTATTGAACTTTGCTTTAATATTGTCTGTTAATAATGTAAGATGCCTCTTTACTCACTGTAGTTTTAAATATTGTTTTTTAATTATGTTAACCACCGTTATATACTCATTGTTTTCAACTTTAAATAGTGTCTTTCATTGTTGTAAACCATCTGGGTCCTTTTCATTGGAGAAAGGAAATAGATAGATAGGTAGATAGGTAGATAGGTAGATAGGTAGATAGGTAGATAGGTAGATAGGTAGATAGGTAGATAGGTAGATAGGTAGATAGGTAGATAGGTAGATAGGTAGATAGGTAGATAGGTAGATAGGTAGATAGGTAGATAGGTAGATAGGTAGATAGGTAGATAGGTAGATAGGTAGATAGGTAGATAGGTAGATAGGTAGATAGGTAGATAGGTTTGCAGGTTTGGAGGTTTTTTTAAAAGAAGGAAAGACATAACAATAGAGTAACACATCAGGAAGATATCAGTATCACAATAGAATTAAATAACAAAACAATTTTTTAAAGATGCAAAGTAACAGTCACCACCAACGTGTTTCTAAAGCAAACATTCAAAAACCTGGTAAGAACACTGGGATTTCTAGTGTTCTTTCTTAACAGACTTTTGTCCCGGCTGGTTATAACCTATAGATCAGCACTGGACATTTTAGTTCAATAGAAGGTTGCAAGCTGTGCTCTTTGATCGTTAATGCTTTTAGGATTATTGTTTTGTATTTTAATGTTTTTACTGCTTACTGATGATATTGATTGCCTGCGTGGCTCCCTTAAGGAACCAAAAGGTGGGATATAAATATTTATAATGAATTTAATGAATTTAAGGAGGAGGACTGTAGTTCATAAATGTTCCCACTGTCTGCTTCCAACATGATGCTCTTCAGATGTGCAGAACCTCTGTCCTCACTATTACAGTTCCCATCAGTAGGAGATGTAGATGTCTTTGTACTGTCTTGTGTGTGTTTGAACCACAAAGCTGTAACCCACACAAACCTGGGAGCAAGCTCTGATGAACTCGATAGAATATGTGTCCAGCTCAACATACAAGGGCTATAAACTGATTCATATGTCAGTATTGATCATTAATAAATACAGTAGTTTTCTGGAAGCTATGTCTTGAGATTTTAATTTCAGCATTTTTCTTATTCTTGTTTTCCCTTGTCTTTTCTTTAGGGGCATTGTGGAACATAAAGACATAGCTAATATTCATTGGAACTGGAAAATTGGTATGTGTATGTTTGAATAAATGTGCATATCATTATGGGATGATACTTTAATAATACTGTAAGTGTATCTCATCTGCCCTGTTAGGAACATAGCAAAAGGAAGGATGCAGTGGTTTTCAAAGCACGAACCACCAGTGTAGAGAGGAGTTACTCACACACACAATCCACCCACCCTCGTCCTTTTCCCACCAAACAAGGGATGAGTTGTACTACTGGAACTGTCGAGATTTAGGCACACCTATGTTTTTCTGGGCTGCATCTTGTCGGTTTAGTTACTTTATGCCGTGAGGCAAGGGACAATTCTTTTGGAAAACATGGGAGTGGTCATGCCTCAAAAGCAGAATGCATGTTCCCCATAGAAAAGTTGCCAGGGTCAATCCTGGACAACTTTAGCAATACTCAAAACACTGGAGAGCTGCAGCAAGTCAGAGCGGACAGAACTGGCCATGAGGTATAAACAGTTATGGAATGTTCTCTCCTTGGAGGTCTGGTGGCTCCTTCAATGGCTTGCGTTTGGCATCTAGCTAAAATGTGACTCTACCAGTGTTTGGAAGTAACTCTAGTGAAAGTTAACATAGTTGCCTATAACTAGTTACTTTTGGGTATCAAGCAATCCAAGTAGTTACAAAAGTAGTTATACCATTCTCCCTTAATGTTACACTGACTGACCATAATAATGTTTCCCGCTCGCAGTTGACTGATTTTTCTGATTTATTAGTGGTAGGTTGCCTTATTTGTTTACGTGGTGCTAGTATTTAGTACATTATTTAAGATTTGTTTTATGTTATGTTATGTGTGTTTCATTTCTGGATATAAATTGGCCAGATAAGTATTTACCACTAATTAGTGCAGTACACAAGTTAAATAAATAAATAGGCATAACAAGGAACACTTAAATAATAAGGAACACTTAGATTCTGGAAACTGTGTACCCTTATTTTTTTTCACAATGAAATATCTGGGACTATTTAGTGTAGTAACGTTTGAGTTTCTTGATAATGATGAATGACAACCACGTCATCCCCAGAGAGCATGGGCAGTGGTTGGAGAAGATAGGAGTTGTAGTCCCACGGACATCTGTGAAGTCTAGGTTGGGAAAAACTTGATTACTTTGACAGGTGGTACAGGGATCATCACAGAGGTTTATAAAACTGTAAGAAGCATGGATAAAGTCAAAAGAGTACATTTCTTCATCTCTCATAACTAGGCGAGGATTTCTATGACACTTCACATTTTCTCTGTCACCTACATTTGAATCCATAAGGAAGTTCAAACATGTAATCTGGCCTTTCTCATCAGATTGTTCATAAACATGGATGGGGCTCGTCAGCCTTGGAAGGCAGCCCATCTAGGAGAAGGGAAACTCTGATTTTAAATCTCCACTGCCTTGTGCTGTATCCATCAATGGAAAAGGCTTCAGGCAAAATCCAGAGCCGGAGTCCCGGAGGCAGTTCACCACTCATATTGGCTCTTGCCTTTCCACTGGACTGTTTCAGTGATGTGGAGAGGTGGGATTTGCTGCTTGGGTTACAGACTGTTCTCCATATTATTTTACCCAGGCATCGTGCCCTGGAGAGCACACTCCAAGTTCAAACCCACCCATAAGCTCAAACATAGGTTACAGGGGAAAAAATATGATGTGTCATAAAAATCCTTCCCCCTACAAGTCATAACCATCGAATCCCAGATCACCCACTGGGGTTTTTTGGGTGGGTGGGTGCAATTATGAAGAAAACAAATGGATAGACATTACTTCCAACCGATCCAAAGGCTGGCAACATGTCTTTTCTTTTTAACTACAACTCCCAGAATTCTCCAACCATAGGGTGACTGGCCATGCTAGTTGGGGGATTGTAATAATAACAATCCAAAAGAGTAAAATTTCCAAGATCATCCAGTCTCCCTAAGTAAGATCATTTAAAGTCTAAAATTGCCTAGCTGCACAGCTGAGGCAGTGTATACTATTCTAATTGGACATGGGCACTTTGTATTCGTATCTAGGGATACGAAATACGAACCGTGGCACCACCACAAAGATATCAACTGCCATGGTGGCCCAGTTCCCACCCCCAGAACTGGTGGGCCCACTCACCTGGCTCCATGAAGCGCTGGGGCCCTTCTACTGTGCCAGCACTCCAATCCGCTTCCCCACACAGCTGACCACTTAGGCGTGGAGACAGGATGGGGAGTCTCCCCCGTTCAGCTGATGAGTGGTTGGCTGTGCAGGGAAGTGGGGAAAGGCTGACCGCGCTCCTTCCCGGATTGGAGCGCCAGTGCAGTAGAAGGACCCCTGTGTTACGTGGTGCCCAGTGAGTGGCCTGACTCGTTTTGGGGATGGGGCCACCGCAGCACCATTAATATTTCACATCCCTGGATACAACTATAAAGTGCCCATGTCCAGTTCTGATTACCAGTTGCTGGGGGACAACATGTCTGGGTTATCAGCTCTGCCAGAGGCTGGGCACTGTGGAGAGTCGGGAGGCTGGACTAGGTAAATGTTTGGTCTGATCTGGGAAGGTTTTTCTTTATCTGTATATCGCGGTATGTTCTTGAACTTAAAATACTTCTGAGAACACGTGTTCTCTTTCATACTTCTGTTTTGTTAGCATTCAGCATCTTTAAGTGTTTAGCTGATTGTCTTGTCTTGCAGTTTTGCTTTTCCTGGCTTTCGCCCTGTGCATGTTTGGACTGTACAGTTTCATGCCTGTGGTGATTAAAGTTACGAGTGCAACGTCTGTCAACTTGGGTATTCTGACAGCTGATCTATACAGCCTTTTCTTTGGCATCTTCCTTTTTGGCTACAAGGTAAGTCAAATTCAGATTACTAGCGTTTGTGCCTGAGCTTTGCTTCATGACTTATGGTATTGTGTAAACATACGGGCACACTTACAACAGTTAATAATGTATGGTGTGTTTTGCTTGATTTGTTGTTGTTATGTGCTGTCAAGTTGCTTCCAACTTAGAGCAACCTAGAACTTGGTGTTCTAGGCTAGCCTATCTCCCCCTATGAGTCTTCTCGGCATTTAAAATTGTCAGGGGAGGCCCTCCTCTTTGTCCCATTGCCAGCACAGGCACAGCTGGTGGGGACATGATAGAAGGCTTTCTCTTTCGCTGCTCCTAGATTATGGGATGCTCTCCCTCATAAGATCAGGCTGGCCTCCTCCCTTTTATACTTCTGCCAACAGCTGAAGACTTACTTTTTCAGGCCGGCTTTTTACCATCATGACTGAGTCCCTGAATGCAATTTTTAAAGTTAAGATAGTTTTTAAACGTTTTACCTGTTTTTCATTATTCAATTGTATTTTAATTAGTGCATAGTTTAATTTTTTTTTATGTTTAACCTATTATGTTTTAAATGTTACTCTTTTTAATGTTGTGAGCCACCTTGGGTCCCCTTGTTGGGAGAAAGGCAACCTATAAATAAAAGAAATAAAAATAAAATGTTGTCCCCATGGCCTTGTTACAGATGTGGCATTATGGGCAGAGTTCACTATCACTGAAAAAAAAATAAGTTGATTATGCTGGCAATGATAGCTAAGCTAATTAATCAGGGATTATTACACATCAGTGCTCTTTCTCCTTCCCAGCCCTAGGATGCTGGGAGTCCCCAAATCTCCTCCAAATTGTGGGAAATACATTCAACTAATTAAGGACAGAGCATTCAAACCTGGCTCACCCTGCCAACCTCAGATCTTGCTGCTGACATAGTGTCCTTAAGGATTAGGCATAGTTTCCCATGCCGCTTCACTTTTGTGAGCAGGGAAAGAATTATACCCATATAATTATCCTGGGAAGTGGGGAAGCACAGGATCATCTCAGAGGAGATCACAATTTCTGATGGTCAGATGCCAATTGCCTGTACTTACCATCTAGGAACCCTTCCCTAAATCTGTTTCCTCAGCAATAGCAATTAACCAGGTTTGTTGGAAAGGAGTGGTACCCAATGTTGTGTAGTGGAGAGAGTGATGGACGAGGACTCTGGAGACAGGGTTCCAATTGGCCGTAGAAGCTGACTAGGGGAATGGAGCTGGTAAACCCACTCCTTAAAGGTCTCACTTACCTTGAAAGCTCTATTAGGGTTGTGATAACTCGGTTCTGACTTGATAGCACATACCTAACTATTGGAAAGGAAGCTTCCCTAATCGGTCTCCTAATTTGGTTGGGCTCCAGTTAAAATGTTTTGGAACATCATGGGATGGTGAAATAGCATCTTGTCTGCATGTTTTAAGTGTGGGACCTTGAAGCCATCTGCATTTCCTCATGTCATGGACACTTTCTCCATTATCTCATGAGACCCAGATAGCTGGCTGCTGTTTCTACTGTGTTTACCCACCAATCCTAAGAGAGACAGAGAGAGACAGAAACAGATAAAATGTCCGTGTTTGGAGAATACCGCGATTTCCTTGACTAGCATTTATGGTTTTGACCTACTGAATCCAAATCCCTATCTGCGTCTCAAGATACAGACTTCAGCTTTGACTTGAAACCTAAGAGTGCAGGCGAAGATGACTGACACCATTTCCTTTGCAGAATTAACAAAGTATACAGGGCCTCCTCAGGCCATACTGCCTAATTAGCCCAAGAGTATCTGTGAAGCCTGTGGCCCTGGAAGCTACATTCAACTTTGGAGAAACAGAGAAGAAGAATAGGTTTGGAAAAATGGTCCTCAAGGGGCTTGAAACCATTCCCCACGGATACCACAGCCCTGCTGTAAAATGGTGTGATGTGATGGCACTGTTGGCCATAACAACTCTGCCTTCCATGGTTAATTTACAAAATATTAGGGTGTGCAAAGGCCTATGTAGAATTTTATGGCTCCAAAGAAGAATTCTATAATTTTTTTTATATAAGTTAGACTGTTTTAAATCACAACTTTGCTTTCTTTCTTTTCTTTCTCCCTCTCCTTTATGTTGATCAGTTTTCAGTGCTCTATCTAGTCTCCTTTGTGGTCATCATGGTGGGCTTCATCATGTATTGTTCCACGCCAACCCGCACTGTGGAAGTCATCTCACCTAACTTGCCATCAGCTGCTAGTACCGGATTTGACAATTTTGCCTTAAAAATCGAAGAGAGCCACCTAGATGCCTTGGTTGTCTCACCTACGGAGCACAACAAAGAAGACAGTCGGGCTGAGGAAATAGAATGCTCAAAATTCACTGCCTTGTGAAATGCACGGCTTTTATCAGCTACCCAGATTACCTTGGAAATGTCAGTGAACAACAGATAATGAACATTATGCTGCTCTTAAGGTGGATGAACTGGAGAGATACCTGCGGTGGTATCTCTGCTCATGCCAAAGTTTGTATTTCATTGCAAAATGAGGGCTACTACCTTGGTTGAATCATCTGTGAAGTCATGTACACTGAAAATCTATCTGTAAAGCTGACAGCAGAACAGAAAAGTAAAGACTACTAGGAGAATTACTAACAAAATGCTCTGCAGAAAGAAAAAAAACTGATTCTCCTCATAACCAATTATTTTGAGTAATATGGGTATTTGTGTGTGTCAAGAACCAGGCTGGCAAAAGACTAGACTGTCAAGAATATGAAGGGATGGAAGACACAAAACATGATTAAATTGCCATTAGTCAGAGAATTTGAGAATTGTAAAGGAAAAGAGAGAGTTCTGGTCCATGAGGACTAGAAACACGATATTTTGAAGAGATGGATTTGACAACTGGATTCTGTCTTTGAGCAGTTAACGTGCTTGGTCATACTATCTCTTCAGAATAATTTGATTTCACCTTATCTTTTGGAAACCAACATAATTAACAGCCATTTGCAATAACAATTGATGCTCATAAACCAATTTTTGAGTTGATTAATGAGTGGCTAAACTAAAGCTGCTGTGAGCTTTCCACTCCCTTCACACTGATATTTGTGTCGACCTTTAATTATATCAGCTGACTGAATCATTCAGTGGTTTAGGTATCTGGCTGCAAAGCCAGAGGTTGGGAGTTTGATTCCCCACTGTGCCTCTTGAGAGAAGAGTCAGCCTGTGTGGCCTTGGGCAAGCTGCACAGTCCCAGAAGAAGGGAGTGGCAAACCACTTCTGTGTATTCTGTACCTAGAAAACCCTGAAAAGGGTCACCGTAATTCAGCTGACTTGATGGTGTGCAATTATTATTATTAATTATATCATTTATTTTCCTCCCAGATGTACTTTGTCTCGTTCAGCAGGTAAATTGCCTGTATTTTTAAATATGTGGATGATTATTTGGAAATGTGAAGCTAGTCTTAATGATTCCATAAACGATTTGTCAAGGTATGTTTAAAGGCATTAGTTGAGGATCTGCTGAAGAACATGGAATAACAAGGTGTAGTTTCACCTTTAGAACTTTTGTCGCCTATTTTAACCAAATCATGGAAGCATCCATATTTGGAGAACTGAAAGGCCCGCATCGACCCAAATCAGTTCCTTAGTGAGATAATTTGAAAACAGCTGCAGGGTTAAATCTGTCTTCCTCTTCATTCCATGTTAAACAGTGATGTCTGTTTCTATGTGTGCATTCTGTGTGTGTTTAGATCAGGATTAGAGCTTGGACGCATTATATTTTTGGATTATAACCTCCACAATTCCTTATGGCCACCTATATACAACCTGGGGGGAGTCTGTGAATAACAGTTTAAAAATTAACTAAGAAGCAACTTTTAATGTAATTTTAAAAGTAACTTTTCCAAGCTGTGCCATGATCCACGCATTTGTTCCCAACAGCGTTAAACATGTGATCTTGCACCTTTTTCTGATCCTGTTCCATTTTTGTATGGGTAGCATGGCGACCCTGCAAATATATCCCTGTTTTCATTTATGGATGTACTTTTCTGGATCAGAACATTCCTAGTTATCTTGGATCAATTTTTGTATAGGTAGCATGGCGACCCTGCAAATATACCCCTGTTTTCATTTATGGATGTACCTTTCTAGATCAGAACATTCCTAGTTATCTTGGATCATGTTTTACATTTGAAGCCATACAATAAACTGCTGCAATAGAATTGTGTCATTAGACCATCAGTTGCAGCAGCAACATGCTTTCTTCTGCCTGCTTCCAAATAATGCCATAATTGTGTGTGCTCATATGTACATATGTATGTGACAGAAATAAATTGCAATTGCTTTGTGATATATTTTTAACCAGTTGAAACTGTCTCTGTGTGAATGCAATAAAATTGTTTTTAGGCCATCCCCAAGACTGGTGAAAATGATTAATTCCTGATAAGACTAGAATAAGAATCAGAAGGGAACCATCTTTTCCTAGCAAAGTATTTGGGATGCTTTCTGTTGCAGAGTTGTGAAGTTCTGGTAATACTTTCTAGCACAATTAAGGCAATGAGTGAAGATGGAGATGCTTTCATAACAAAGAGAGTGTTTCAAAGCCAAAGTCTGTTGCAGAGTTTTGAATTTCTGGTAAAATTCTACATGGTAGAAATACAAAGATCCACAGAGGATAACAGCTGTAAGTTCTCGAGAATCCATCCCTTTCTCATTAACTGGCACTTAAAGTCTCAGTTACTCTGAGACATTTGTAAGAGAAAGAATAAAAAAACATTACTTACAGTTGCATGAAATTACAGATTTATATATATTGCTTTCTTTAGTGCACACATACCAACAATCAACTGAACAGATGGACACAAAAAACAAAATAACTGCCACTAACCAATGAAAGAAAGGGATAGAACATACAGCAGAGAGGCAAGGCCTCTTTAAATTTCAGAAGCTGAAAGGAATGATAATCGTCCCAGTCCAGAAAAGTCCTTCCCAATCACTCAAGCTACAGACAGCATGCGAGGTTGTAAATAAAACTCCAGTACTTTCTGCCAATTTGTGCTGCCTTGTGCTTCTCTTAATTTGGAGAGGCTTGCTACAGACTCATGTTGTCTTTCTGAGCAGCAATCCTAAATGTGTTTACTGTCAGTTAAGGCTGAAATCCAAGGTCATAGGAGGAAACCCTACCAAACTCAATGGAACTTACTGCTGAATAGAGATGTATCTCATTGGTGTGGAAGTGCTGGTTGAACTCAGTGAAACAGGCAGAGCAATCCTGACAAATAAGAGGGATTGTTGACAACATGTAGAAGGACTTAGGATCTTGTAGATGTCTTCCTTCCTCAGACATGTTTCCAAAATACCTTGTTCCATTCTGCATCGCTGGCAGGACCTGAGAACATTCACTGACAATGGATGGCCCACAGCTCTTGTCCTCAAGATTACTTGTTTTACGATGTGGTTCTTGGCTTGTTTCGGGGAAAGCTACATTGAAGTCTCCCCACAATGGGAAATTGCTCCTTCACATTTAAAGGTGGGATTGAGAATGGCAGGCCTGAGGATCAGATCTCACCCTCTTAGAATCTCAAGATGACCAGATCTAAGGAGTGTTCAGTATATTGTACTACCACCTTAAGATCACTAGATGGCAGCCAGAGAATGTTTTTATTTTCACTGGTATTTCTACGGCATTGTGCTAAGATGTGATACAGGATGGGAAACACTGCAGAATTTTGAAGGGGAAAAATAAATTTTAAGGTGAAATGATAAATATGAGCAACAATTTGGCTAAATAACTAAAGTGTTGCTGTAGAGATTTCTGTTCTGTGCCATCACGTCAGAACTGATTTATAGCAACCATTAACAGGGCTTTCAAGGTAAGTGAGATATTTAAGGAGTGGTTTTACCAGTTCCAGTCCCCCCAGTGGATTTCCATGGCTGAGTAGGGATTTGAACCCCCCCAGAGGATTTCCATGGCTGAGAAGGGATTTGAACCCTCGTCTTCAGAATCCTAGTCCATCAGTCTATCCACTACATGAGTGGTCCCCAACCTTGCGCCTCCAGATGTTCTTGGACTTCAGCTCCCAGAAATCCTGGCCAGCAGAGGTGGTGGTGAAGGCTTCTGGGAGTTGTAGTCCAAAAACATCTGGAGGCCCAAGATTTGGGACCATTGCACTACACCATACTGGGAAATCAGTGTAGAGAGAGTTCCCTGGGACCATTGCACTACACCACACTGGGAAATCAGTGTAGAGAGAGTTCCCTCTTTAAAAAAAGGTAGGCACAAATGAGGTTTACATTACAGTATCTATTTTGCATCTCCCTGGATCCCTGTAGCCTGCTAACCAGAGCTAAAGACAAAATGGCAACTCAAGGAGTTAAGTAAACTATCTACTGAAAGGACAGCAGGTGGACAATTGTGGTCCTCGAGGTTTTTGGATGGACTGGGGTGGATGGGGCTAGAAAACCAGAAGAGCAACTGTTGCCCGCCTCTGATTTATACAAGCATGCATGTGAGTTACCTGTTCTCAGAGGTTGCAGTGCAACTCTAAAACTGGCTGCGGTGTTGAACAAAGATGTGCAAGCGTTTATTATCCTGTCTTGCAGATGAGAAATACTAAAGGCCAAGAGATAGGTTTTAAGTACAAGGTCAGGCATGGTGGGGGCAGCATTATGTGTGGCATAAGCTTGCAATTTATTAGATATTTTTAGAGTCATGTCTTTGGGGGTCTCCTATAAACTATGCGGATACCAGTAGGATTCCTCATCTACCTTCTGCACATCTGTGCCTTTCAGTAATTACACTTGGTTCATGCTTACCTGTGCATATTGAATTTCACTTCTTTATTTCATGTTATAAGAACAGTGGGCATCACATTTTTGGGCTGTCACCTCAGCCTCAAAGTTTATGCCACCTCTACTAGATGAAAAAATCTGGAGAACTCAAAACGCTTGCGTTTTTGTAACTTCTCAGTTATCTAATAAAGTTTTTTCCCTACTCAGAACTCTGTTTCTTTGCACGGATCACCCAATTACTTTTTCTGTCTGCAGTCTAAAGTTGATTGTGTTGATCACCTCTTAAGGTGTAAGAAACATCCTGCTGAATCAGATCGAAGGGACACCAAGTCCAATATCCTAACCCCCCATTGTAACCAATAAAGGAAGCCCCATTTAGCAGAAAATAACAACTAAATATGAGCTATAATATCCTGCTTCCCTATATAGGAAGACCACGGTATCTGCGGAATCAGTACCCACTGTTTCACTTATCTGCTGCCTGAAAATATTGAATAAGAATCCCCAGAAATATGCATTTCCAAGGTGCATTACCAGATTTCGTCACTAGAAGGAACCAAAGACTATGCTATACTGTATATACAGTATATCATTTCTATATCAGCCCTTTTAGGCACTGGGGGACAGGCTTGGAACTTCTTTCCCACGGATACTGTGGTCCTACTGTATTTCAGTCGCCAGATTTAGATTATGTGTCTGTTTCTTGGATAGGACAATTTCCCCCACTCTATGTCATTTTCTTACAGAAAACCTAAGAGTATTTTCAATGGAATGCCGTCTCAAACCTGGCAATAGCTAGCAAAATAGTAGTATTATCAGTAGTCGTCCTTAGTGGACCCAAGTGTTGTTTTTTTAAAAAACCTGTAAGAGCAAACAACATGCCCTTTACATTGCTTTATGTTCTACTATGGCCAGAATTGAACCAGAAATAGGACAGTCTAGTGTCATCCTGCTGGAAAGAATTCCGCTGGCTGCATCCTCTCCAGTTGTCCATATTCCCCAGAGAGTAAGAAATGTGCATTTGCGAACAAATAAGAGAATAATCCTCACCCTGCAGTGTGTGGGCTGGAAGGGATTAAGATGCAATAGCAGTGTACTCCACCGAAAAAAAGAAGCTACAGGGGAGGAATCCCATAGATCATATAGAGTGCTGTTTCACTCTATATGATCCATGAGAATACAGCTGTATGAAGTGTGTTGTATTCACAGTTTTTCCCTCCTTGTTTTTGTGTGTCTCTGTGTGTGTGTGTGTGCATTTCTCCAGCTACAGGATGCAGCCGATGTATCCCCATCAATGATCTCTGCACATCTTGTTTTGTGTTAACAACACCCCCACAGGAGTAGGATCAGTCAGCAAAAGTGTTGAGGCTAAGCAGATGTTCTCAGGATAAGAATCTGGAGAAGATACAATTGTGCTGTCTGCTCTTAATTGAAGGCCTCAATAAAAAAGAAGAGGGGAAAAAAACCCAATCTAATTTTAAAGAATCAGGTGCCAAGCATCTGCCCTGGCAGATTGTGATCCGTGGGAGTAAGCCCCACTGAGGATGAAAAAGACTTAATTCTGAGTAAACATGCATAAGACTGCACCGCAGAGCCCTTGCAAATCCACAGTGATTATGGTGTTTGCAGCCGTTTTTATAAAATTAATCGGCCTTGGGGATCCATCTTCCTGGATAAAATCAAGGAATGGGAATACTGCAGATGCGCTCTGTCAACGTAAACATGCCAGAGAGCCCTGGTTCATTTCTAAATGGCGACTCGAGAGGAAGGGAGGGTGCCTTCATTGCATCAGCAGGTACTTCGTTTACACAGATGTAACTGTACAGAGCAAATATCATATATAAAGAGAGAAGTGTCAGCTGCCTACGATTTAGGCTCCTTTGGATCCAGTACTATTTCTTGTGGTTTCTTTAAAAAAAATTCTTCATATGTACGAAGGTGACTATTTCCTGGTGGCCATAGTGTGACTCAATAGTGCTAGGAAACAAGTGCAATTCAAGTGCTTTTCCACACAGTTGTCCTCTTTTCCTGGAAAAAGACCCCCTGTTTGAAAAAACCCTGGGTGATTATCCACACATTTGCATTCACATTATGAGGAACAGCTTCCATACTACTCTGGATCAGTTCTGCACATAGAATTACAGGTATTCTGTGTGTAGGTATTATAAACATTTTTGTTGGCTCACTACACAAAAAAATGGAGTGTTGATGCCCCCCCTGTCAACATCTGGACATCAACAGGGTCCCTAGCCTTGAATTTTATGATTTTATTGCTAGTGGAATTTGAAATAAATATATATATCTTGGTTATTTTGAAGATGCTGACCTTTAGTTACGTCTCATAGTATTAGTTCTGCATGATATGATGTTCAGAACAAACGCATCCATTTTTGTCATCAACATTGCAGAGTTCATGGGGCTCCTTTCTGTAAGGCAAATACACAAGAGATACAATTAGTTTACAACATTAGACAAAATTATTTCAACAATATTACATTGCTGATGTAGAAACTTTTGGTCAGAAATACCCCTGATGATTTTAAAGAAGAAGGTTCAATTCACCTAGTATTCATTTCAATGGCAAACACACACACATATGTATATACATTCAAACATGGTGTTTAAAACATGGCTGCTCTGTTGGAAAGATTGCTTCCCCCCCCTTTTTTTTAATTACTGCTCCCTAGCCAGCATGAGAATCTAGGAGCTGCAGTCCAAAAATACTATATATCTCAGCTCTGGTGTTAAAGCAGTTAGAGACACGGAAACAGTCTTCTGCCTGATTAAAAGGTTCTTTTTAACTGGCCAAAAGGGCAAATATAATCAAATTACACTTTTGTCATAATAAATATACACAAACATGTTGCAATGTAAGCAGAATTGTTAATATTGTTCTCAGAATGATGTGCAGTTGATATCATCTCTGTGCATATCATCATCATCATCATCATCATCATCATCATCATCATCATCATCATCATCCCCTCCATGGCACAGGCCTTGTTGAGGCATAGGGGCTTGCGTGCTTCAGTGAGGTTGAGAGCTGTGCTCAAGGGTTTCCCAAGCTAGCCAGTTTTCAGCTGAGAAGCCAGAATAACTGTGTCCACCAACCATCAGTCATGATGAGAGGGAATAAACAGAAATCCATACCAGATTGGTCATTGCCCAGGTCAACAAGGGCTATGTGAGATGCTATAGCCCCTGGGCATCTGGTGACAAATGGGCTATAGGATTCAGCAGACCTTGTTGGGGAACTAGGACAGGCTGCTGCAAAGCTACTGGAACAACGTAAATGCAAAACTTGGACTCTCACCAAAAACTGAGAAATTATCAAATGATATTACGAGGCAAACCCAACAGCCTGTGGTTTTCAAAAAAAGAATAATGAAAATTTGGAAAAGGAAACACCCAAGTAGTGACATAACTGAACAACGATTAATGGACCAGAGAAGGTTTATCATCTGGAGTAAAGTGTTTTCAGAGCTGGAACTGCAAGAACTAGAACTAGGTAGCAAAATCAGCACATAACAATGACCATAATATCGAAGACAAATGGGGAGTAGAGGTAGACACAATAGTGGGAGAAAACATATAAATAGAGGAACAACTTATGAAACAACCCAGAAATTATGAGTTGACAGAATGGAAAACGTCACTGAGGGAAAAAATAGTAGCCCAAAGGTTCCCCAATTTGTGCCAGTTACAAAGTAAACCAGTAAAAGATCTACTGAATGATGCAAATGTCATCAGAACAATCCCAACTGACATGCTAAAGGAAACAAACCAGCTCATGTATAGCACAACTGCAATAATTATCATGGAACTTGGTTACAAGCTGCAAAATGTATGACCTAGAAAGGAAACCAATTGTTGAAACTATGGAAGAATTAAAACAGTGGGTAACAGCTACAGCAAATAAAATTGAAACATATGATAGACACCTGAAACAATATGGAAAAAACACAGAATTTCAAAATAACCAACTATTGTTCTATACATCAATAGGAGAAAATGCAGAGCAAAAAAAATTAGGCCCCATGTAAACATGATGCTCTAAAATTTTGGAAAGAATGCAAAAAGGATGAAAACAAACCTTAACATGGCCTGGGTAGGCTATAAAAGGCATTTGACTCATTGGCACACAGTTGGATTAATACCTGCCTAAAAATGTTTGGGATTAGTAAAAAACATTCAGAAGTTCCTCAAGAAAAACATGGAAAAATGGAAAACTATCTTAATGGCCTGCGGTGAAGAAACTGGGGAAGTTCGCATCAAAAGAGGAATATTTCAGAAGGACTCTTTGTCAACAGTGTTTTTTAACATCTCACTAATCCCCATGTCAATAATTTTAAATAAAACTGGACTGAGCTACCATATTTCACAATAAACTGGGAAAATCAATAATCTCATATACATCAATCTTTAGATTACCTAAAACTACTGTATATGCAAAAAGTTCTATAGAGATAAAATCACTGCTAAACACAGTGCAAATATTTAGTGAAGATATCCAAATGAAATTTGGAATTGACAAATGTGCAGCTCTGTCTATACACTGTGGCAAAATCCAAAAGTTAGATAGAATAGAGTTTTAAAAAATGGCAACATTTTAAAATCACTACCAAGTGAGGAAAATTACAAATACTTGGAATACTAGAAGCAGACAACATCATGTACACAAAAGTTAAAGAACTGACAGAAAATATATCAAAAGACTACGGAAAATCTTACAATCAAAATTAATTGGGACAAATACAATCAAACTCATAAACACATGGGCTGTTCCAGTAATTAGATACTCAGCTGGAATAATAGATTGGGCTCAAAATGAATTAGAAAAATTAGAATGAAAAACACAGAAACTAATGAACATGCATCATGCACTACATCCAAAAAGTGATGCGGAAGTCCTCTGAAGATGCTGGCCACAGAGACTGGCGAAACATTAGGAAGAACAACCTTCAGAACATGGCCAAAGAGCCTGAAAAAACCACAGCAACCATTAGATCCCGGCAATGAAAGCCTTCGCGAATACATTCGACAGATACTTAGGTTTTCCGTTAAAACGTGTGTCTGTTATATAATACCAGTCAATGGTTTTATAATTTTGACTGTGCCCATGCTGTCCAGTTCCTCACAGAGGACGCCGAGTTTGTCAACTGTCCCTTCTGTTCCCTCAAGTAGCCTTGCACAGGCACAGACCCAATCGCTGGTGCAAGTTGAGGATATGTGGGTGTTTCTGTCACTTAGATCAGGAGTCTAATTTGGGAGAAAGAACTACACCGGACTTCCCTCTTAGCAAGCTGAGGGCTGGGCACCGTCTTGTGAGGTTCGAAGGTTTTGCACCCTAGCCTCCTCTTCTTCTTTTAAGAAGTGCCCTCCTTTCCCCTGGGCCTCATGGCCAACCCCCAAGAACAGCCCTCACCCTGGAGTCCGGAGCATCAGAGGAGAGTAAACAAACCAGAGACGATAAACAAACGGCATGAATATTTAATTAAGCTGTGCTTCAATTATTCATGAGGCTGCTTGAGGGTATTCTTTTCAACACGACTTCAGCCTCCCGGAGATATCACAGGATGTCTTTTTTTTTCACACCGCTCTGTACCGTGGAGAGCCTTTTATTCATCAAAGGCCGCCACAACATTTCACTTCTCTGGTAACTATTGTCGATCAATCATCTTTAATCATTGTGGGCTATACCCTACTACAGTTGCTTGGCAGTGGCTCAAGAGAGAACCAGCCGTGTCTAGCTCATTATGTCACCGGGAACTGTGTACCGTATAAGGCCTCAATCCCTTTTTCTGCATTTTTTCTGTGTCCCCAGATTTTTTTAAAACTAAAAATTAAAAACAGGCCTGTGGCTCTTTGTCTAAATTTGACACAAAACTACTAATGAGTTCTTTCCTTCCGTGTTGATTTTAAAATCAGTGTTGATTGAAAGCATTGTCAGTATTGTCTGAAAGAGGAAACCATTCATTATCCTTAATAATACAGCTACTCCTAAGGCTGATATCTGTTAAGCTCCATCCATTCCTCTTAGATTTGCCCCCTTTGGGCAGCCATCCTGGCTGGGAAATTCTGAAGGAAGGAAAGGAGGGAGGGAGGGAGGAAGGAAGGAAGGTCTACTTATTGTACTCCCCCGCTCATTTATTTTACCTTGAATGGCCATATGTAAGAATCATTTGCCAGTTTTTATTTCTCTATTTATTGTACCCCCCCTCATTTATTTTACCTTGAATGGCCAGATGTAAGAATCATTTGCCAGTTTTTATTTCCAGATTACTGTATTTTTCCACGTATAAGATGTCCCATGTATAAGATGTCCCCCACTTTTCTAACCCAAAATTAAGAAATCTAACTGGGGCTTAGCAAGTGGAGGGGAAAGCAGGGATCAAAGCCCTGCAGGACCACTTTGATCCCTGCTTTCCCTCCACTTATTTTTTTCTCTCCTCAGGGTTGTATAAGACAACCCTGAATTTTTAGTCTAAAGATTTTAGGCAAAAGTATAGTCTTATACATGGAAAAATATGGTACTTTTTCATTTTATGAGTTATATGGTTTCTTGGTCTTCATTCATTCATTCATTCATACATTCATTTATGAATTATATGGTTCCTTGGTCTTCATTCATTCATTCGTTCGTTCGTTCGTTCGTTCGTTCGTTCGTTCATTCATTCATTGTTGGTCATCCCCTTGATTGAGGAAATTCTTACTATCCTGTAATAAGTCTATATCTCCATATTTCTATGGGATGTATATACCTGGAAGAAAATACTCCAGTTTTTTCATATATGTTTCTTCCAAATAATTATTCATTTTTATAAAAGGAAGAATTCCTGCAGAATTCATAAAACCTAATTCTTAGAGATACTTCTTCACCCTTTGATTTCCCTTCTCCATCTTTCCAGTGTGGAATATATTTCTAGCTCCAGGGAAAGCTTTCAGAATAGAGGTCAGACTCCAAGGCTGTAAATTTGTTTAATAGGATGTGACAACTGTCTATGATCTCCACTTTCTCCTTCACAAACTATAGCAATCGACAGATTAAAATATGGGTTTCAAGTAGGCAGATAGGGTTGTTATAACTTTCTCCCCATCAGCATAGCTGGATAATATCAGAGCTTGAGATCTGGGTTTTTTTTTAAAAAAGAAGTACCTCCATTATCTTGAACCAGCCGAGCTCCTGCATTTTTACAATGTAGTTAAAATAATATTTTTGATATCTTTATTGTACCTTTTATGCAGCTATATTTTGGATTGAAATCTGACTTGATCATTTGCCTGCAACTTAAGTTTGGTTTTCATTTATTTTTAAGCATTTGTGCCTACAGTTTTTCCATAGCTGTAAGACTTTTTGTATGTTTATAACAACTTTGGAGTATTTTTGTGCCTATGGAACAGAAGCTGACGTTGCCTGGAATTATTA